CAATGACCAGTCTCCTTGCACCAAGCACACTGATCTTTTCCTACTCTAGACTGTGACTTCCAATTCTTTCGGTTTGGACCCTTCCCTCTTGCGACCAACGCCTCCGCTACCGGCTCAACTGAAGCCTCATTATCCTTCTTTCGAAGCTGATAATTCACAAGTGCAGCGGTGACCTCACTATACGAAAGTGATGCCTTCCCATTAATCAGAGTAAGAACGAAGGTCTCATATTCCTCGTCGGGTAAGGAACTCAACAACAGCAACGCCTTGTCCTCATCCTCAATTATGACATCCACATTCGCCAAATTCGCAAGAAGCTTCGTGTAGTGGTTCATGTGATCTCTAATGGAGGTTCCCTTCTTTAATTGGAAATGATAAAGCCTCCTCTTCAAATGCAAGCGATTTTCCACACTCTTGGTCAAATACTTGCTTTCGAGAATCTCCCAAATCTTCTTCGCAGAAGTCTCATTCATCACATCATATTTTAGATCTTGAGTCAAACAAGACCTAATCACACCACACGCCGTTCGATTCATCTTCTTCCAAACCTTCTCTTCAATCTCATCTGGCTTGCCATCTAACTCCAATGTATCCTCCAAATTCTGCGCGTTCAGCGCATCCAAAACCTCGCATCTCCATAATCCAAAGTTGTTTGTGCCATTAAATTTCTCCACATCTATCTTCATAGAGTGGATATTCAAACTCTGAATAGTCTTCACGCCAGAAGAACCACCCTCGACACCCGAAGCACCTTCTTTCCCCGACATCTTACGCACCAACGAACAAAGAATAGATCCAAAACTGAAAGATAGAGTCTTTACCAAAAGATCCCATCTTTATCACCAACGAAGTCCTAAACGGGCCTCCAAATTGATCTACTCCTCCAACCAAACCCTAGATCTAGAATCTGGGCTCTGATACCACTTGTTGTGCGCAGCGAAAATTTCGGCAGAGTTTCTGGTGCACAATAATAGAAAAAGATCGATAAGAATTCTTATTTCTCAAAGGGAATAAGAATCTGAAGCCTAATATCCCATCAAAGTGGGATATTAGCTCTTCCTCTCGTCAGCTCTAGGACTGCGCGTCGAGGGATCCTAAAAACTATTACAATGGCCACAAACTCAAATAACCAATTTTTACGTGGTTCGGCAAACTGCCTACATCCACGGGGCAAGGAGGGGGATCTACTATTATAGAGAAAAAAGAATACAATAAGTTTACAACTCTCACAATCTAAACCCTCAAATAGGCTCCTTGCTTTTCTTCACAAGAAAAGGTCAGCCTCCAAATACTCTTTCTCTCTTCACAAAACCCGAGACAGCACCTGCACTGTAGCCGCCAAAAGGAAGAAAATTGCTGACTGCTGCACTCCTTCACACGCCCCAATCAGCCGCCTGCACTTGTTTTTCTCCCCTCTGCCTACTCTTGCACGCGCCTCCAAGCCCTCTGCACTTTTCACCAAGCCCTTGCACGCCTCCAAGCTTTGCCTTTTTCTTTTGCTGCCGCCAAAAGAACCCCTCAACTTGGCACGCCTTCCAAAAACCCTAGAAACTAGGCTTTTATAGACATCTGCTGTGTTTTCGGGTGGACCAGCCAAAAAAAAATCCGCTGGTCTCTTAGGCTCTTCACGCGGAATCCAAGAGAACCAGATCTTTTCACGTGTCCTTGCTTTTTCACACGTTTTGTGGTCCACACACCGAAATAATCTCTTCACTTGGGCTCCTCTGTTAGGGTTATTGGTTGAGAGGTTGAGAGATTTGTTGGTGAGATTAGTTTGTTCCTTCGAGTGATTTGTAATCTTAGTTTGTACTCTTTCTCTATTAGTGAAAACCTCATCCCCTTCTTGCCCCGTGGACGTAGGCAATTGCCGAACCACGTAAAACTATTGTGTTTGGATTTGTGCCGTTGTTTTGATTTGTTTGGCCTTTATCTCGACGTTTGTTTGATTTGGTTCTCAAAGCACGTCCGTTTGGTTGTCACGCTTCCGCGACGCGCACAACACATCATTCATCAATAACTCATTTTAATTTGACTTACCATGGATCGCAGTATCAAATATTCTTGTCACTCTTCAGATATAGTTTGAGTTTGAGGTTTTGAAAGGAGGGAGGGGACAAGACAACAAAATGATGAAATGTTTTCAATTATTTATTATCTAGTTTTTTTAATAAAATGAATGAGAGCATGAGACCAAGATTCATACAGAATGCAGTAAGATAAGACTAGCTATAATCCGACATTGAGAGAACAGCTCTCTCTCTCTCCTACAGAGAGCAAACAAAATGCCGATCCAACTTAGGTTTAAGAGGCCAAAATCATTTATCTATACCAAACCATTATCATGCTCATATATAAGCTGGCATCTTAAATATCACAAAGATTATTAAGCGACAACCAGCCACCCGTGTGAGTGGTTTTTTCTACTCAATGAAAAAATAATTTAAAAAACTAAAAATTGTGAGGTGTCCCTACCTGCATTAATGTGATAGGTACATAACTCTTTTTAGAGTAGAAAACTATCAAAAAGAAATGGCGTGAGAGCATCTCCAACGGAGCTTCAAAATGGCGTAAAAACCCAAATTGACGCCAAAATGCTCCTCCAACCGATCGGTAAACTGCGCGCTATTTTGAAGGGCTGCTACAGTGTTGCGCCAGAAATGGCGCAACACTGTAGGAATAGCGCAGTGTTATTTTAAAGAGAGCGAACGGGCGAACCTCTATTTTTGTCAGCTTCTGGTCACCTCCCAAACCGTCACGCAACCCCCCTCTCTCAGTGCTGGCCTTTCGGATTCTGGATTCAATTCGAGAGAAAGAATCGCCTCCCAAACTTCTCTCTGTGTTGATCCTCATCCTCGTCACCGGAAAGCTTCTCCGATTTTCAATTTTTTTTCAAAGGGTTTCGTTCGTCGTTTTCTATAGCTCGCTTCCGAAATTTTCATTTCTTTCCAAAAAAAGTAAATAAAATCGATAAAATGGAGAAGGGAGCGGATGCCCAACCCATCGCGAAAGGTCGGCCCCTAGGGGGGAATGGGTTGACCAATGGGTGTTTGTAATTTTATTGCCCTATTTTTACAAATCTAGGTGTTTGTAAATATATTATTATAATTAATTATATGTAATGCATTATATAATATATAATTATATAATTTGTTAAATATTTTAAATAGATAAAAATGTTAAAAGATAAGAATAATAAAAGGAATATTCTTTTTGGTGTAACATTTGGTGTAATGGGTTGGAGATAAAATAGTGATTTGGTGTAAAAACTACACCAACTTGATGTAAAAACTACACCATTTTGGGTTTTATGGTTGGAGATGCTCTGAATGTGTATTCTTTCGTTAGAAACATATTGTAAACATGGGGTTTCTAGCTTAAAGTAGTGCATGATTTCTGAAGATTTTGGTCATAACGGATTGATTAGCATCTTGGTCAGAGTAGTGCAAGCATTTCATTTTTTTTTAATTGAGTCTGAATTTCTATAGCACTCATATAATTTATCATGCTTTAGGCTTATTGATGTATAGTTGCATAGACGTGCATGTTAGAAGCTATAGCTGACTAAGATATAACAAAATTTCCTGTTTTCTCTTTCATTTTAGAGTACAGTGCAGCTGATTATAAAACTTATAATGTAACGTGGCTTGTTCTTTTCGTAAGAAAGCGAACACCAGATCTGATCTTTTTTAAGAGAGGTAAAGAAATTAGAGACCTTCTTGCTGATTATGTGTCAAGCAACATTTGTTTTCAAATTCCAATAGACTTTGAAGAGGACATCAGTTAAGTAAAAGTCTAACTTTACCATGTGTCTGGTTTGGTTCTGTTACATCTACAGTTAGGTTGCTGTCGTCACCTTCCCCACATAATTTTGTAAGTTTATTGATAGTTGAGATTATTTTTTGTAGGAGATGTGTGTGCATAAACTATCCGTTAAGTTGTTGTATGTAACTCCTACAACAAAACAAGCGCATCTGGTGTAGTGGTATCATAGTACCCTCCCACGGTACTGACCAGGGTTCGATTCCCTGGCACCCAAAAAAAAACCTAAAAAATATAGTCTTTTTTTTTTACGAAATCACATTTTATTTTTAATTTATACGCAAACCATCTTTAAAATGAGTTTTATTACAATCAACCATCTCCCATTCCAGCCAAAATTTTCACTGAAAACTTGAAAATACCCTTTAAAACTCACATTCAAGACACATGACTCCCTTTAGTAACATTTAGGTGCAGTTAAGATACAAGTCGTGTGCCTTGGACATGCATTTTTAAGGTATTTTTTATTTTTTCGGTGAAGATTTGGCTAGGAGGCAGTTGATTAGAACAAAGAACCACTCTAAAGCTGGTTTACATATAAAATGAAAATAATATATAGTTTCTGTCAAATGACCCTATTTTTAAGGTGACTTTAACAAAGAAAAAACCCCTTTGATTAAATATCACCAAATCCTGGAAAGATTCCACAAGGTTAGAAAACATAGTAACATAAGGATGGTTTCTCACGCACCCAGAAATTAAAATAAATGGTTCAGACAAAGTACAATAAGATATTAGTTCAGGCATCCTTCACTTAAACTGTTTTCATGATGCACAAAACAAAAAGCTTGACAGGCTGATATTAAGTTGCCATCAGTACAATGAATCTGATGATAATAATTTAGAAGAACTGGAATCCCTTCTTTTTTTCACACCTAAAAGGGCAAATAATTTTAGTATGATCATGCAAGCTCTCGGTGGTCCAAAGTACTCAGACTTGTAATATTTGTGCCTGATTTATGTCACGCACATAATGATTTGATAGAGGAAAACTGTATCCTTTCAAAATTCCTGTTATATGTTGTGGAATAGGCAGCAATCAAAATAAAATGCTTTAAATTTTAAATAAAAATAAAAATAAATACAAAAAAAAACAAAAAAGAAAAAGAAAAGGAAAAAAACACTACGTGACAAAAGCTGTCCTAGCTTTCAAGAAAATTTCAATCATCATACTTAGCCGCTTGGAATCCATAGCATATAACTATATATGCTATATATCTTCACTGATTGACTCAGAAAAGCCCTGATAGTAATTAGGTAAGGCCACAGGAGGTTAAACCATGAAGCACATCTTGGTACAGACAATTTTAGACCTGAAAGCTTTTCAAAAAAATTTAGACCTGAAAGGTCAATCCTGCACGTATTTAATTCACACCCACTCATAATAAGCACCGATAATTTCACTCGTGATTTGCAGGTAAACGTCAACTCCATCGACCCTTCTCCTTCTTAACTCCAGGTACTTTCAACAGGATGCAAGACACAAACCAATATCCATCTCTAACTCCTCCAAGTTCAGGTGAGAAGTACCCTCACACCCTTTAAGCATACATGCAAATTATTTATCTTCATGAGGTTTAAAAAGTCCATTCACAGAATATTTTATGGTTTTTCTATGGTATCTAGCTCAAAGATATTTTCAGAATAGTTGCTGGGGAAATGATCTGGGATGACAATAATCTCTACTTTTTTATGAGACTTGAAAACATCACGCATCAGCTCATCCACACCCCCAGCACACGCACAAACGTGCGTACGCATGTATATAAGAGGTCAGCACCTTACAGTGAGATGCTATGAACCTATGGACAAATGTAAGGTACAAGCCACAAGACTTAGATGCATGTTTAAGTATATGCATTATACTTTGACCAAGGAGAAGATAATCCTTACCATGAAAGAGGGACCTAATTGTGACCCAAAAGCAACTCTAGCGTATTTCAACAATGATTTGCGGTTTTAGTGCATGCTCCTTCTAACTCTATTGTTAGTGCTGGCTATCATGATTATCGACCACTAGAGCTTGTTTATTCAGAATCTTGTATTATGTTGTGTGTTTTTGGAGAAACAAATTTCACATGGAAAGAAGTCAATACATAAACAGTTCATAATCATTCATTACAGCATGCAATTCTAACGACTGCATAATATTCTATTTCTATATGTTATCAAGTAAACGAGTTGTATCTGAAACCCAATTTGATACTAATTTTGCTCAAACAAGACCACATATTTCATCAACAATGACCAAAAGTCCTAGTTAAATGTCTGCATGAACATATATTTTGAACGTACAGTGTCATTATGAAATATGAACTATAAGCTCCAAAACTCCAAAAAAAAAGTCATAATCTCATTGAGAGTTGGAAACTCCTTTTACAAAACTAATTAAACAAAATGGAACAAAAGAATACAAAGGAACTGAAAACATAAGTACCTCATCTCATTCCAAAGATCTCCTCTGGTGGATCATAAATATGACGCTCAGGAAACATTTCCTCAAAGTCTTGTTTTACTCTATTCCTTAGAAGAGGATGTGGTAGAAGCCCCTTCAAAAGAATCCTAAAAGGCAGTTCTTCAGGTGGATCAGGAGAATTCTTCATGTCCTCGTATATATTCATTGCATCAGCAGGAGAGCCATATCTCAGGAATCCCCTGATAACTTCAGCATAAGTCTGAGAATCAGGAAATAGTTCGTCCTTCCTCATATTCTCCCAGACTTGCATAGCATCTTCCATCTTTTTACTCTTTGCCAAGGAAATAATCAAGTCCTTATACATATATACATCTGGCCTATACCATGGCTCCTTTTGAATAATCCTAAACATCTGAGTCAACAGTCATACAAGCTGGTCAGTTACAACTTACATCTATTGATAACAAGCACATGAAGAATTTACCTAGGACTCAGAATTGTACTCTAGGGAATATATACTTTATGTAGACAATAGACAGCACACCTTGACAATCCATTATTTTGTTACACGCAATATTTTACAAGGGAAATCTCTTAAAGATGCAAAATCTTCAAATTGAAATTAGACATCACACAAAAATCAATACACAATAAATATAGAAAGACTATATATGATCGACCACACAATATAATGATCAATAAAAATGAAATGCGTACATGTGAACTAGAAAGAATTGTGGCCACCATAATATTGTGAAGTATACATCACAAAAATGAACATATATGCAAAAAAATTCAGAGATTAGCAAAATCACTGGAAAAAAAAGAACCTCACATGGTAAGCTCCTGCGGAACTACATGTGTTTCCAAAAGACTTACTCTATACTTCAGCAATACCAAATCAACAAAGATTTTTTTTCCTATTTCTTCGTCCAATCTGTTACAGGCTATTTCTAATAAACCAAAGAAAATATTTTTTTCAGCATCACATAAATTTATAAATAAGGGATATCTTATGGATGCAGAAAAAAGTTACTTTTTTAAACTAGACCCTGCCCACAAGTTAAACATGATATATAGATATTATTCTTTCATACGATTGATCATGCTGTAATACCCCAACCCTTGAGAGGGTGATGTGATTAGTATTGATAGATTTGATTGGAATACTCATACCACCAAGATGTATCTTCTTTTCGGGAATCCAGCTCTTAGAAACTCCAAAGTTAAGCGTACTTGATCTGGAGAAATTCTAGGATGGGTGACCCCCTAGGAAGTTTTTCAGAGAGCGCGTGAGTGAGGACAAAACGTGCTGAAAAGATATGTGGTGGTTTGTGAGGCCAGTCCATCAGATCTAATAGCGTACCGACTCCGGAATTCCGGAGCGGGGAGTTACAAATGGTATCAAAGCCAAGCCAACCGGAATTGTGAGAGCTAAGTGCTATGCGGCGCAAAGTGCTACGTCGAGAGGGCGGGAGCCACCTCTTGAGGCCGTAGGAGCCACCTCTAGAATCTCACACGGATGGTACTTTGGCACAACGAGGACGTTGTGAGTTTAAGTGGGGGAGTTTGTAATACCCCAACCCTTGAAAGGGTGATGTGATTAGTATTGATAGATTTGATTGGAATACTCATACCACCAAGATGCATCTTCTTTTCGGGAATCCAACTCTTAGAAACTCCAAAGTTAAGCGTGCTTGACCTGGAGAAATTCTAGGATGGGTGACTCCCTGGGAAGTTTTCCAGGGAGCGCGTGAGTGAGGACAAAACGTGCTGAAAAGATATGTGGTGGTTTGTGAGGCCAGTCCATCAGATCTAATAGCGTACCGACTCTGGAATTCCGGGGCGGGGCGTTACACATGCAGGATACCAAATCCACAAAGTAGATTGAAACATGCATATATGATAGAACAAAATAGATAATTAGAGAAATGATGAGTGAATAGTTTTCAATTTGTACCATGTAAAGCATATGCCTAGTAAAGCATATGAATTCATAGAAGAATGAAGAACTTGCAGCAAAAACATATTCATAGGAAGCTCTTATTTGACGTCTGTATTCAAACAAAAACTTTTCATCATATGTCCACAAGAACAATATAGCCATGTCCATAATTTGTTAGACTCGGGTACATGAATCCCTTTCTTCTGAACTACAGTAAGGGCGGTCTCTTCTTTCAGATTAAAAACTACCACGTCTTTGTATCTTTTCTTTTAATTATCTGAGCATAACTTTCAACTATAATCTATTGGTAATAATTGTTAATGAAATAACCCGAATTTTCACTTGATTATAAGTATTACATTTTACAAATTTCTTCGATAATTATACAAGCTATTTGTTTAGTTATATTAATTATGAATATTAGATTATAAATGACCTTTATGCAAGAAGAAAGTTACCTAATAAAATTATATTTAGGGTGGTTATTGTAAATTTGTACTTAATATAAGTGAATCAAACCCTGCTCTCCTATCTTTGCCGCAACCTCTAGCGGCAATGCCGTAGATATCCAAAAAAAGTTAACCGGATCTGTATTGAAAGGGAACAAGTGGTGATTGTTACACAAGAAAGAGGTATTGCTTCTATATCTAATATTTGTTGTAGACTATTATCCGCTGTAGATGAAGAATATGCGCCAATCTTATTTTAGGTTACCTAGATCCTGTTCTAGGTGATGTTGACTATGACTCTAGCTTCAGAACGTGTTATCTTTTGGACCTTCTTGTACATGTCTGTTATATATTTTCTTAGCTAGGCCTTATTATCATGGCCATGGTAAAAGTCCTAGTAGCATGCAACAATTTGCTGCTGTTTTTCTTTGTTTAATCATAGGAAAAATTGTGTCAATACCCTAAATTTCAAAACTCAATGTGCTCTAACCCCTCATACTTTTTGCAATATGCTGCAGCCCCTAAAATTTAAAAAAAAAAATGGCCCAGCCCCTCCAGCTCATGATTAACCCATATTTGACCTAAAAAACTAATTTTACCCCTCTTCTCATTCTCCTTCTCCTTCCTCTCATCTTCTCCTTCTCCTTCCTCTCATCTTCTCCTTCTCCTTCCTCATCCTCCTTCCTCTTTCCTATCAACGATCCTCCAGTCCGTCGTCGACGCTGCATGGGCTCCACTGGCAATCCTCTTCCTCGTCTCCTTCTCCTTCCTCATCCTCTTCTCCTTCTCCTTCATCCTCCTCCTCATTCATCCTCCTTCCTCCCCGGCGATCCTCCAGTCCGTCGCTGACTTTGCATGGGATCCATCAGCGACCCTCTTCTTCGTCTCCTTCTCCTTTCTCATCATACTTCCTCCTCGGCAATCATCCAGTCCGCCACCGACTCTACATGGACCCTGCCGACGGTTGGTTGGCCACCGACGACGACTGATTGGAGATGATATTGCTCAATCCCATCACTAAATCCCAAATCTGACTCCCTCCAATCTCCACTATACTGGAGTTCTTCCCTATATCCTCGCCCGAAAAAATTTACGAAAAATTCATCTTGTCTTCAAGCTCCATGGAAAAGGACTGTGCGATTATGCTCTGTTTATTGCGGTCTACGTGTATATGTAGCCGAGATGTTCCCAGAGTGAGAGGCAACTGTATCTACTTTATCGAAGACTTTGTGGATACTAGATGGGGACTGTGTTTTGAAAGGAAGAGAAGAGATGTTGAGTAGATTAGTCTTTGTATAAAATTTTATTGTACATAGGCCATTTTATTGGCTTGAAAATTATATGTAGTTTGTACATGATGCGTTGATAATTGAGAAATAAAAGACGATATACAAAAATATTCATTTGAAATAATGGATGTATAAATATTTAGTAGATTAATTGTATAGTTTACCTAATACAAGTGAACTATAGCAAATTAATTATTAACGTTTACCAATTCCATGTTAAGTATAGTGGAGTAAGTGTTAATTTTTTTCTTTAAAATGTTAATTTTTGTTAATTAACTGTTAAGTTTTACCTAGTACATTGATTAACTATTAATGTTTAGTTATTCCATATAAGTATAATTGAATAACTGTTATCTTTATTCTTTTAAATGTTAAGTTTTGTGTTATACATGTAAAATATAGTTGATTAACTATTAACCTTTAGTTGTTCCATATAAAGTATAATGACGGAGACCGACTACAATAGCGACATATTCATGGACCACAATGATTGTGGTTAATGAGCAAGAACATGAAAGAATAAAGGCGGCTGAGCTCTTTCGATGTTAATGGGCTCTTTGATCACTCATATCTTAAGGGATGGACTCACTCGTAATTGGATCTTAAATAACCCGAGCATTCAGAAGTTTTTTGAGAAATGCTATGTGAGTTTATTGGAGCTAGGGTTTATACAAAAGTTTCTTGCAACATTAGAACTAAAAAATTAGTAAAATATATACTACAAGTTTATTAGAACTAAAAACATTAAACAAAGAAAGCTAAATTGTAACAATTTAAGAGTTAAGGTACATTAATAGGTACTTTGTGAGTTTTAGTAGACATATATTAACACTTGGTATTTTACATTATATAATCCTATTCAAAAGTTAACAATTACTCAATTATATTTAAGAAGGACTAGGTAAATGTTAACAATTAGTCAACTATAGTTTACATATATTAGGTAAAACATAACAGTTAATTTATAAAACTTAACATTTAAATGAATAAAGATAACAGTTACTCAATTATACTTATATGGAATAACTAAACATTAACAGTTAATCGACTATAGTTCACATGTAATAGGTAAAACTTAACATTTAATTAACAAAACTTAACATTTAAAAGAAAAAATTTAACACTTACTCCACTATACTTAACATGGAACAAGTTAACGTTAACAGTTAATTTGCTATAGTTCACTTGTATTAGGTAAAACTTAATAATTAATCTACTGAATATTTATACATCTATTATTTTAAATGAAAATTTTTGTATGTAAGCTTTTATTTTTCAATTAAGCCAACAAAAATGACCTGTGTATAATAAAATTTTAAACAAAGACTAATTCACTCAACATCTCGGCTAAATATACAAGTAGATACAATTATCTCTCACTCCAGGAACATCTCGGGTAGATATACGCGTAGACTGGTTGCTTCCAATGAACAAAGCATAATCACACAGTCTTTTTCCATGGGGCTTGAAGACAGAACGAATTTTTCATAAATTTCTTCAGGCGAGGAGTTAGGGGGAAACTCAAGTATAGTGAAGATTGGAGAGAGTCGGATTTGGAATTGAGTGATGGAAATAAGAAAGGAGAGAATGAGAAAGGAGATGAGGAAGGAGGACGAGGGTGGAGAGAATGAGGAAGGAGGGAAGGAAGAAGAAGGATCGCTCAGGAACTGGAGGATCGCTGGGGAAGGAGAGAATCAAGGTTGCATAGGTACGGGTACGGACACGGGTACGGGTACAGGACATGGCAAATTTGTAAAAAGTAGGGTACGAGGACACAATATATTAACTATAGTAATTTTATTATGTTTAATTTCAAATTGGGAAATAAGCTCACTCCTTAGATCTAAACCCAAACTCAAAGCTAAGCGGACCGCTTAAATGGCCCGCCCAACTATTTAAAAAATAAAAGTCCAAACCGGTTTTAACCCAAACCCGAACCCAAACCCAAACCCAAGCCCAAGCCCAAGCTCAGGCCCAGCTTTATAACTGAAACCCTAGTCCCTTTAACAAAAACGAAAAAGAAACCCTAGATCCCCTTTGTTGGCTTCTCCTCTCTCCTCCTTCAGATCGAGATCAGCTCCTCTCTCCCTCCTCTCTCCTCCTTCAGATCCGACTCCAAGTGGATTCTGGGGCTAGGGTTTTCACCGTTCTCCCTCGAATCTCGTCGTCGACTCCTCCCTCCAAGCTCGTCGTCCCTCGAATCTCGTCATCCCTCGAATCTCGTCGCCGACTCCTCCCTCGAAGCTCGTCGTACCTCAAAGCTCATCATCCCTCGAAGATCGTCGTTTACTACTCCCTCGACTATCTTCCCTCCTTCAGGTACGCAACTTTTTCCCCCTCACTCGTCCTCACTCGTGAAATTGTCGTGTCCCTGCCGTTTGGGTGCAGAACCGTACCCAAACCGCACCCGACACGGGTACGACATCCATTTTGCCGTGTCGGGGTAACATAGGAGAGAACGAATCAGTTTCGGTGGAGCCCATGCAGAGTCGGTAGCGAACTGGAGGATCGCCGGGGAGGAAGGAGGAAGGAAGATGAGTGAGGAGAGAATGAGAAAGGAGAAAAAGACGAGGAAGAGGATCGTTGATGGAGCTCATGCACAGTCGACGACGGACTGGAGGATTGCCAGGAAGGAAGGAGGAAGGAGGATGAGGAAGGAGAAGGAGAAGAGGAGAGGAAGGAAAAGGAGAATAGGGGTAAAATTGGGTTTTTAGGTCAAATATGGGCTAATCATGAGCTGGAGGGGCTGGGCCACATTTTTTTAAATTTTGGGGGCTATAGGACATTGTAAAAAATACGAGGGGCTAGGACACATTGAGTTTTGAAATTTGGGGCTTTGACACAATTTTTCCTTAATTATATATATAATAGATTGCTAGCTATGCATGACTCTAGTTATATTAGAAAAATGATAAACTACGTTTATGGATGCATATCTATTTGCCTATAGACTTTTGGATAATCGGACAAGTTATATCGAAGGAATTGAATAGGCGATGGTGTATATTTTATTTGTTTATATATATATTTGACTGAATATATAGTGCGTTATTAATTAGTACGCCTTTTGATTATTTTAGCATGTGTTTGAGCCGAGGGTTCACAATAGTATTGATCCTTGGTTATATGTATTCTTTAGGGGATCCAAGTGATTTCGAGGAGGTGTTATGAGTAGTTTTTGGTTTATCTTTCGGGTTAATATAAGTGGTGATTTATGCATTTTGTGCTGCATATTTTTCATATAAAATTATATCAGGTATATGTGGATTTGTTCTGATGGATTATAACGTTTTGTATGATTTACTCATATATTGGTTGTTGATTGGATTGTATTTTGTGATGCATGCAGATATTTTGGTACAAGCGTATGTTTTTTTCTTTGGTGACAATCATGTCTTATCATATAGTAGTAAATTGAGATGCATATGTGATAGATTATTCACCACTGTTATAAATAACGGTAAATAGCCCCACAATAGCGGTGTTAATAGCGTTAGCAGTCTCTTCCCGCCACGTTATCGCCTAATAACGGTGACATATTGCAGAATATGCGCTTTCCGTTCGCAAAAACGACCAATAGCACGTCCTAACGACAAATAACAGGCGATTGCGTGCAAAATCCGTTGTTTGACTGTTATTTAAAAACGGTTTGAGGTTTATTTTTTTAAAATTAAACCCGACCTTTAACCACTGCATTCCACCGTCTCCCACGATTTTTAGCGTATTCCTGCCGTCTCTCATAGCCTCTGGCATCTAACTCAGCACTTTCTCTCATCTCATTCACCGTGAGCTCCTCCTAGGGTAGTCCTCTCACCGCTCAGCTCATCTTTTCAAAGACGACGACTCTTTGACTTTTTCTTCAGTCCTCTTTGGTATTATGTGATGATTACATGTCTATTTTATGTTTAAGATCTCTTTAAATCATCAAATATATACTTTTAGATTTTTTAGATTTTTAATCTGTTTTTAGTATTCACTCATATCTAAATTAGACCGCTATTTGATTTTACGATTTTCACCGCTATTTTGTCATAATAGCCCCAAATAACCTTAGCGATGCCTCACCGCTATGCGACGCTATCCGCTACCGATAACCTCGTTATTCACTATTAGTTAGCCTTTAGCAATTATTTATAAAGTATTTGGTTATATAAACTTTGTTTATTTTTTTCTTAAAGCATATGCATCTCAGATCAATATAGCTATATATGTCGGATATAAGCAAGTTATTAAAATAGGGCTCAATGTGCCTCTATGAAGTTTTATTTTGGCGCTAAGAGCCTAAGATTGGGTCTGACTGTTTCGGAACCACGGACTTAATAATTGTTGGTTTTACCGAATCAACCGGAGTATAAAGTGTTGATCGCATTGAGACGTGGCCTGCTTATTTTTATTTCATGATTTTTAAGTTTTCTTAAATATTTGCATCAATTACTAGAGTTCATTGAAGATTCTCTATCATTCTTATGTTTTGCTTATCATTTGTCAAAATATTTAAATTTTTGCAAAACCAGTGTTCAATGTACGAATTTATCCACTTATGAGTTGGAGTTGTGAACTCATTGTGTTGTTTTCATTCTTTTCAGAGACTCGGGATTAGGGGGGATTGATGATTTTTTAAATTCTTAGAATGGAGCAAGGAATAAAATTCGAGATTGTTATTGTCTTCTAGGTGAATGTTAAATAAAGTCTTTGATGTTTAGTTGATAAATTGAGAGTTTTGTAATAATGAGATTCTTTCCTTTAGATCGAGTTTTATTTCAAGTTGAGGAATATTTGTTTATATGAGTTAATTGGATTAATGTTGACTTTTGGGATTATAGAGAATATTTATTGTTGGTTTTAGTTCAATGAAGAGATTATTTTGATGGGCTTTTAATGAATGTATATTTTTGGAGGACTTTTCACATAGTCTGGCTCCGATATTCGTTTTAGGTTTGGAAATTGGGGGCGTGGCAGTTAAATTCATTTTGAATCAGCAATGAAATTCACGCTCCGTCTTCCTCAATTGAGGATCACCTATCATCTTAAGAACGCTTCTTAATTGCGATGAAATCAAACACTTCTGATGCCAAAATAAAAATACAAAACAGGTGGCCTTTTCAATTCTAAACCATTGTGTAATTCAATCCTAGAACCCACTTCAGCACAATTATTCCAAAATTGTAAGGTCCCCACATACATTTGAACGCTTCAAGATGCTCCTTTATATTCTTAAGATACTTTAAGCTATAAAATCAAAGATGCTATTATGCCATGGAAGTTATAAAACATCAAATGCCAGTAAATAAAAGTTCAAAACCCTACCTTGAGAGCCAATTCAACCTCATCTTGCCTCTCGAGCTCGGTAAGCACAGCAATCATGTCCATCTTGAGCAGCCTCTTAACATGAGACTTGACGAACTTGTTCATCATCTCCTCATCATCTTTGAACCTCTTCATCCCCAAAATCACGAAAAGGGCTTCTTTTCCTATCATCTTCTTCCCTCTCCATAAGGGTCCTCTCGGCCTCCCATCGTGATAGAGGCGATTGTGAGAGAAATTAGGGTTTTTGGGTTGGGGGTTTTGAATGGGGAGATGGCTGTCAGAGAAAAGAGGCGATTTTTGTGAGGGTTTTTGGAGGCTTTGTAGGATCGACGGAGAGAAATTGATAAGTTTTGATCGAGAGAGAGCTCGAATCGCCATTGAAGAAAGGGGTTAAACCTCAGCTAGATGCTAAACCCTTTGTTAGATGCTAAGGGCAATGGGTCGGCATGGGCTTTGTCTTTGTTAACCGATCCAAATTCCTTAAGGACCCAAAATATGGGACCAATAGAGAGGACAAGTGAGGTATCCCCCTCCTATTGGATAATGAGTTGGCCATCATTAATGATTGTCAACTCATTATCCAATAGGAAAGGGACACCTCACTTGTCCCCCTTATTGGTCCCATATTTTGGGTCCCTGTAACAAAGCTCTTAGGGAAAATGACATTATTAAGAATGTATTCGGCAACTAAGTAAAAATGGGCCAGGCTTGTTTTCAGAACTGGTTCTTATCAGAACCAATTTAGTTGTGGACCAACTTCGTCCTGATCTATAACGAAACTGGTTTAAACCCTCAAAATTAAACTAACAAGAATCGGGTAATTTCTGGCCTAGTTTTTACCAATCAGAAAACACCTCATAACTGGACCAAATTCAGACTTGGACTAGCTTTTAACAGGCCCGCATAATATAAAGATTTTGCAGAAAAATCATACAGGGAGTAGTTCAATGATTTAGCAGAAAAATCCTTGCACTATCAGATTTTTGGGGTTTGTGGTAGCTCACATGAGGCTGTTTGCACCGTCATTATGTTTTTTTCCTTTGTTCTTTTTTCACTTGAACATCAGCTTTACTTGTCCTCTCTCATCTTTATCTCACTAAGGAAGAAGGCACTAGTTATTTATCTCATGCATTTAAACAACTAATTAAACTGATTAGATACATCATACTTAAGCAGAATGTAACATTTACTTGCTTCATAGCTCTTGTTCAGGTTAACCGCACATTCGCCCCTATAGTAAAGTAGTTTTGAACTTACTTTCCCTAGAGTTCATTTTGCCAGATAGACCTAGTGTTAAATTTTTTTTGACTGTCCTACTCTCAGATAGACTCACTAATTTCATCCACGGACAATATTTGCCAAAATTTCACCAAGGGTAAAAGAGTCAAAAAGTTTCATCCAGGTATTCTATATGCCAAAATGAAAATATTAAGTACTCAATAGCTATACTATAGAGAATCCATGAGCAATTAACCCTTCTTTTTTTTTCGTGCATTTTGCACAGTTCCTGAAGCTGTCTGTTTTAATACCCAGAATGTGAGGGATCCAATACGTTTGAAACTAAGCAGGAGAACCAAGGATTTTTTTTTTTTTTTTTTTGTATTACTAAAGCAAATAAAAGCACAGAAAACTTTGAAGTTCAAACTCTAAATCAATCTATTCATACAAATACCAACTGAACATGATTTAAAATTAATCATTTATTATTCTCCTCAGATACTTCGACTATCGCCATTAGAAGCTTTCTTAACTCAGAAATGGGAATCTCCTTATCACCCCTTGCCTGAAAAATAATACATAACAAACATTGGTTCAGCCTAAGAATTCATCACCAGAAATATCCATAACGAATAAAGTTAACGAACTCTAAATAGCTAAAAACAAACCTTTACCTCAATGCAAAAAACTATCTGATCAAAACCTGAAAAAGCAAAGGAGCTGATTTCAGTAATCTCTAGTCCATTTCTGGAGAGGGCATCAAGCAGTTTAATAAACCCTCCAGGCCTCTTGTTGCACATAATCTTAACATGGAATTTGTTTTGTCCCATAGGATTCAGCTCAACCCTTCCCTAGGACCAATAAAATTAAGAGCAACACATGATTCCAAGATTTCAGTCACTATGTTTGCACCCTCATACTGTCAGAAATAGACTGTGGTTTAAAGTACTGTACCTGGTATCGGGCCATCTCTGGAGGAGCTGTGCTCTCTGTACTAGATGTGCTCCCTTGCTTCGTGCGGTCCTCTTCTTCGCAAATCTTCGAAAGCTCAAGCTTCAGGTCATTAATTTGTGTTTGGAGGTTGTGGATGTAATCCATTGCATCAATGAGGGTTGACTCCTTGCTCATCTAAAGAACAGGAGATTCTAGTAGGTTAACGAGGAGCCAATCTATATTCATTTTTGCATACATCAATTAATACGTATACTGATTATTTCGGGAGAAAGCGTCCAGTTCCAGTTTCTGGTCTCTCGCATGCTCTGCCTAAAATATTATCAGTTCATATGTTTATAATACATCGGAATAATTGAAATTGTTACTGGATACGACATAACTATCTGTTTTCATATTAGTACTGATGAGATAAAATATAAAAAGGAGTTATATGTTTGCCATATTCATATCGGCACTCAAGATTAAAAAAACAAATATCAAAACGGAATTCTTTTCCTCAAAGCAACCTAGATCTTTTTGCACATAAATAGCCAATAGACTTATTTCGGGGGGGAAATGTAAACAGTTAAAAGAGGAGCCCCGGCAAGAAATTAAAATCTAAAGAGATGTGGAGGGTTAATGCAGGGGCAGAACATTTTTACAAAATTGCAGACTCCAGCATCAAAAGTTTATACAAAGGCAGACAATGTAATTGGAGAATAAGTGACTGCGTTTCTTTAAGATTTTGGGGAAAACCGCTTCCTTATAAGTATGTGCAAGGGGTCAGAAATTCTCCATGAAATGACAATAAAAGAGAAACCTGAACGAGCATGTACTTTTCTCCAGTAGAGAAAATTAAGTACAGAAACATGTGGATCTTGAACTCTAGCAAAAAAAAAAAGAAGGGGAAAAAAAGGAAACTGATATCCTGAACCGAAGAAATCATTGTAAAACCGTGCGTCTAGTTTCTAAACAATCAGCATGTTAACATTTAGCATTCTCTAAAAAAACAACTGATTCATATTTATAAGTGAATCCTCACTATTTAACAGCCAAATGCAAAGCGTGTTAAAATTTGATGACCATTAACTTGTCAAGAATCCCTTTTATTTCTCATACGTAGCTACTTGTAAATGAGTAAGCCTGCCTTTACGCAATGTTCTTGTAAGTAAAATTTCTGTGAGAAGAAGCACTTCTTAAAGATGAGTCTTTAGTAGTATCACTATATACAGAAAAAATCGAAGAGTCAATTCTATGGGAAAGAGGACGGAGGATCAAAATCTACTAAAACAGGGTAGAAAACAAAGAAAGCTGAATGCGGGATCATTTGTTGGAAAAGTAATAATAATAATAATAAGACATCCATGTTTTGGGATTTAGATTAATAATCCTCATGAATTTGATAACATCAAAGGGAGCAGAAATGAAATGTTTCTGAAGAAATTCCAATCGAAATAATTGGATGAAGGGATTGTTACCTTAGTAATGTTAGGAACCAACGATCTGAGGGTAAAGAGTCGATGGTTGAGCTTGCTCCTCCTCCTCCTCTCTGCTGCGAGGTTCTTTGACTTGTACCTTTCCTCTCCCTTCTCTGCTGCAGCCGCGGACTGCTCCTTCCGAAACTCCCCTTCTCCTCCTCCATCGCCGTAGCAGCCATCAAGCATTGAGTCTGCGAAGTTCATCACATCAAATTCCATGGCTTGGTCTCTTGGCCAACGAGGCATTGCTATCAAATAATGCTAACAAGCAACGGAGAAGAAGTACTTGTAAATTGCAGAGAGAGAGAGAGAGAGAGGCATCTCGTTGCTATGTTGTTAAGCTGTACTATTATTCCCCTTCTTTTTTGCGTTGAGGTGTGATTTCAAGAGAGGAAAATGAAAAGCCGTTGGTGTTCGTTAAGAGTGTTTCTTGTGATGTGCCCTGTCCACTGTATATGTTAACTAACTCCGCTTAAGAGGGAAAGTATTCTTCCAACCTGATGACCCAAAGTATGGGCTAGATTAAAGGATTTCTGGTTTTGTGAGAGGACAGCGGAACGCGTAGCTTGCTCCCCCGGTGAGAGCCCCCCCAAAAAAAAAAAAAAACCAAAGAAAAAAGGTTTTACTTTCTTTATGCATACGTAGTCATAACTTAGCTTTACTTTTCTTCAAAATTTTCTCCAACAGTTTTCTCAAAATTTTCTTCAAAATGGGGAAGCAAAAGTCATATTCTCCAAATTATTTTTGCTCCAACTCCAATAGCTTCCCCATTTTGAAGAATCTTGCATTTATTACAATAATAAAAATACTCTATATCCATATTTTGGGATGCTCTTATGCATTGGAACTGCTCCCCATGGTTTTTTTTGTAATTACGGATTTTGTTTTATATTTATTTTCTCCTCCAACCTGTTTTGAAGAACGTGCTGCATTTATGACAAAGATCTCCCCAAATATTTGAAGAATGCCCCATATTTGGGGAAGACTCTCATTTTTTTCTCCTTCGTCCCTATTTTGGGGAATGTGATGGGGAATCTGTTGGACCAAAAAAAGCTCAAAATTCTCCAAAAATGATAATACCAATAAAATGGGGAATGTATTGAAGATGCTCTTAGGGGCTATTTGTTTCTTGCATTTTGCAACTTTGCATTAAAAAAAAGGAACCTTAACTAAATGCATTGTTTGGGTAATCTTTTTTATCATAAATTGAAGTTACGATGTAGGATTAATGCATCAATTCTAATTCCCTAAGAGTTCACTCTGATTTTTACTAAGTCTTATCTAGAAAGGAAAAAAAAAGAGTGATATTATATCATATTATCCTAAACAAATTTATATTCTACCAAACAGGAATATTTTGCTTGGATTTGGCATTCCTCACATCCTCTTTAATATGCATGCAAAGAAACAAGATTATGAATGTGAATTTTTTTTTACATCAGTAACATGAATCAAAACTAATCCATGAACTAAACAACCCCTTAGCCGCTCATGATCATAAATTTCTAAGTTTTTTGAAAATAAGTAAGTTACTTAACCGTACCTGATAGCTTCTTAAGAATGTTAAGGACATGCGAGAAAGTTACAAGATTACAAGTTACAATTTATGTTATAATGTAACAAATTATTAAACTTTGAAATAGGACGCAAAGGATATCATTGAGATGGTGTAGCAGGAAAAGTTTCACCATATTTAAAATTAAAGAAAAAAACATTTTCACAACCAATTACAATGATTGAAATTGTTAATCATGATAATTTCCATTATCTAACACATACTTGATCTCATGATTTGCTTACTCTTTATTTATAGTTTTGAGGTGAAGATTACTTTATTATAAAAAAGATTAGTGTGTACCTCATGCAAAGCACGACCCCTGTTTTTTTAAGCATTTGCATTTTGAACCTGATTCCCTCTAAGGTTTAATACATTTGATTTGATTATTATATGATTAAAAATTAGAATCATATCTACAGCTCTATACTTAAAAAGGTGTTGTTCATGATATAGTAAAATATTGTAGTATGAACAGTAAATATACTCCTCTATACGAAAAGGGGCACCCAAAAATTTACAGTTCATGTCATAGTAATTTACCACAATACTTACCGTAGCATGAACATTAAATCTTTGGATCCTCCTATAAGAGAAGTAGAAACCAGCAATTTTACATTTTCAATGAAAAATCAATGATAAGTTAATCACAAAATTTTTATTGCATATATACCTTTGATTTTGAGTTAACAGTGAATAGTATTTATGACCTTAATTAGGATGAAAAGTAAGTTTTGTCATCATAAAAGAAAATTTCCAACTATACTAATCAGTATCCACTATTATTTTTGAAATATCATAAACTTAGCAGGGGCCTGCAATTTTTACTAGAAATGAAGAGAAAAAGAAAACTGAAACCCGTTTACAGCAATAATTTCCCCAAAATCTAACATTCGCAACCAAAAGCTCCCCCCAAAATCCTGACCGTTCAAAAATCGCACTATGTTCCCTCGCCTCCGCCGCCTCTCCCGCCTCTTCTCAACCTCCACCGCCACCTTAAACCCTAACCCTAAGCCCGAAACCCTAAGCACAAGCATCAACAACCTCTTCAACGAGCGCAACCTCGAGCGCTTCGTTTCCTCCTTCAAGCTGTCCTCCAACTCCTACCGCTTCCGCTGCCGCCACCGCATTTTCGACACCCGCCACAGCTCCGTCAAGGAGATCCTCGACTTCCAGAAGCAGTTCACAGATGATTTCAAGCGCGAGGGTTCGGGGATCCGATTGATATCTCTCTATGGAAAAGCTCGGATGGTCGATGAGGCCCAGAGGACTTTTGATGAGCTTGAGGATTTGGGATGCCCTAGGAGCGTGAAATCTTTCAATGCGCTGCTGACTGTGTTTGTTGAGTGTGGGGAGTTTGATAGGGTTTTGAAGGCGGTTGAGGAGTTGCCGGAGTCGCTTTCGCTGAATGGAATCTCGTATAATATTCTGATCAAGGCGAATTGTGCTAAAGGTGAGATCTTGATTGGTGACTATTGGTTTTGGATTCAGTTCTCGAGTTTGATTTCATAGTTTTGGGATTGATTGTAGTGAATGGGGGTTCGTTGTTATATACTTTGAAAAAAAAAAGTGATCTTGATGAATTGTTGGGGAGAAACTTCTTAATGCACAGAGTATCATTAGAATATTTAACTCATTACATATTGTAGATATTAAAAAAATAAAATGAATCCATTCTTTTATACTGAATTATTTTTAAACCCCCACTTCCAGAATCATTCATAGGGTATTGACCCTCTGCTTATAGCGGTTTATCTAATATTATAGAAGTTTAAGAAATATTATAGCAATTTAAATTGAATTGTAGCAGATTACATACTTTATAGCAGATTAATACAGATTTTGGGTTTGAAAATTATAATCAGCTTAGGTGCTCGCGTGTGAATGATTTTGGGAGTGTGCGAGTTTAAAAATAAACCAGGGGAAAATAACGGTTTATAATAAAGAAAAAACATAGATTGTTTTATTACTTTAAAAAAAATTGAGTTTCTACAGTAATAAAATGCTGAATTCTATCAACCTGATATATTTTGGCACATCTTTGCCAATTTCTTTATTTTGAAGGTGAGCTTGATGCTGCCGTCGAGGTACTTGATGTTATGGAACAGAACGGTTTTTCTCCTTGTTTGGTCTCCTACAATACGCTCTTAAATGCATTTTATGGGAATAGCCGGTTTTCCGATGCTGAAAAGATCTGGGATAGAATGGTAAAGGAAAAGATTGAACCTGATACAAAGAGCTTTAATGCAAAGATGTTAGGGCTAGTTTCAGAAGGGAAGACAGCAGACGCAATAAAACTTGCTGATGAACTGAAGAGGCTGAAGTTAAAGCCAAACACTTTCACTTTCAATACGTTGATTAAAGCATTTTGCAAAGATGGAAACTTGGAGGAAGCGAAAAAGATATATGTGAATTTGACAAAGAATGATTGTGCTCCCAGTAGAGGGACCTTTGATGTTTTGATTCCTAGTCTTTGCAAGACAGGAGAGTTAGATACCGCTCTTAAGTTGTGTAATGAGAATATGAGTCGTCGGCGTTTAGTGGATGCACCGATACTTCAGGAGGTCATTAATGGGTTAGTTAAGGGGTCAAGCATGGAGAAAGCTAAGAAGCTTGTGGACCTTGCACGGCAGAATGGGTACTCCAAGAAGAATGTGAGAATGCCATGAAGTGACTGGTAGGTGAATCTATGCTGTTAAATTTATAGTTCTCATACTCTATGGGTCATAATCACCTTGTTTTCTTTATACCATGCTTAGAAAGTAAGTTGTACTCCAGTGATAAATATCGATGGTGGCATTGGGTGGTTAGTTGTCGTAGTTTCATCCTTGTTGACCTATATAGGATGTGCATATTATGTGTTTGTTCTGGTTCGTACTTTATGTCTCTATTATTCATGCAATTCCGTGTTTCAAGTCTTGTCATCTCAATTCTTGCAAGTTATGTGGACCCTCAAACCGTCAATTGTTTGTGGTGTCGGAAATAAGTTTGCGAATGATGTCTTAAGTTGTGCCATTGTGTTAGCAGTATACCAAGAGTCTTGTACTTGAGTTATGGTTTAACGGAGAAGATCCTTTCTTGCAAAAAAATTGACTACCTGCCTTCTTACAAGTTATATCAGGTATAACATTGTTGACTCGATTTAGATATTTTCCCATATGTTCATGATTTTGTCTAGACTAGGTAAAAGTAAAAAAAAATAGTTAACAAAATGTGCATGGCAGTAGAGAAAAAAAAAAGCTTATTCTCTCAGAAAGCACCTCTAAATATAATTCAGTAACTGAATTCAGATTGTTACTCATAGTTATTTAAAATTGTAGTTATGGGATTACGAGTTGGAAATTGCAAACTTGTAGCGTAGAAGCAGGAGCTGCACTATATCTCAAAATCCATCATCTAGCATATAGAGATATATGTTAGATGTCTTTCATGCAAAGTAATGAATTACCTTGCGTAGTTTGCCTCATATTTCCAAATCCATGAAATAGTTAAATTTGTTTTATGGCGTTCCCAGTGATTCCTGATCTTCCATGTCCATGAATGCCTCATATAATCAAATCCATGATATAGTTAAAATGGTTTTATGGTGTTCCCTATGGTTCCTGATCTTCCATGTCCATGAATGTTTGCCGCATATAAATGTTTAGACCATTTTTACCTTGAAACATATGTATGAGAAGGAATAGGTATATCCTCTTTTGTAAAGGCTTATCATGTTATAGGGTACTAAAGTTTAGATATAATCTTGTATATGAATAAACAACCCTATACATATATCAATGTGTAATAATTCATAACATAATTTGGTGATTATTCTCACCATTCATTTCAATCCATTTCATTTTTTCCCTAGAAACCACCTTTAAGTTAGGGTAATTATACACAAAGAACATTTCATTTCAAATTTATATAGGAACCACCTACAATTTGTATCTGTACAATTTGTATCTGTTCTAGTTAACCACCTGAGCCCACATATTTTTCATTAAGGGGCTGTTTGTTTGCTCAAAAAAGAGAGAAATGGAGGATTTGAAATCTGACAACAGCGCCACATAGGATTTTGATTTCAAGACATTTTCATTCCCCGCCTTTGGTTCGCTATGTGATTTAAAGAAATGAGGGGGTGAAATGGGGTGCCACGTCAGCTTTTGTAGAAAACCCATTTCAGACCAAAATGGGCTGAAATGGGTGAGAAATATCACTTCAAGCAATTTCTAATTGCTCAAAGCACTGTTGAAACGGCGGCTGAGATTAAAAGGTAATATTTAATTGCTCAAAGCACTATTGAAACGACGGCTGAAATGATATTTCTTAATTTTTGGATGTTCAAACAAACCCAAGAAATAGAAATCCTTTTTTTCCAGCCTATGATTTCAATGTGAAACAAACCAAATAAATCAAATGGGGGAAACCCTCTGAAATGTCCAGAAATGGTTCTCAAACAATGTTTTCTTCTTTCTTTTTTTCCCCGGAAATGTACCAAACAACCACTAAACCCACTTCTACCCTTACAAAACTCATGTGTTTTGCACGTGCTCTCACTTTAACCCATCTTTAACCAGACAAAACTGTTGGATCCCCACCTAACTAAAACCTTAACAAAAATCTAATAAATCACAAACCTCTCTCTCTCTCTCTCTCTCTCTCTCTCTCACGCAAAATCAAAGCCCGATCTCCCCACTTAGTCAACTCTAGATCCATTAAATTTCTTACAAACACATTAAGTTTCTTGCAAGGTAGAAGAAACCTAAACAAAATTTTGATTTTTACTACAGATTGAAAAAGATCGACATGATTTCTCTTTCTCATGAAGTTGATGTTGCTTCTCTTCTTCCTCAACATATGGAGGGCGAGTGAACTAATGGGGATGCTGCTCCAAACCAATAGCTTCTTCAACCTCCCTCTTGCAGTTTCCCCCTTTCTAATTTTAGGGCTAACTTATGTGGATGGCTGAGGAGGGTGGGGGCAATTAAGATGAGTTTAGTTTGGGGTGTGGTTGATTAAGGGTTTAAGGTTTTGTTAATGGGTGAAGGTTAAGGATCTGGTTGAGGATGGGAGAGCACGTGCAAAACACATGATTTAATAAGAGTAGAAATGGGTTTAATGAAAATATGTGGGCCCAGGTGGTTAATTAGAACGGAAATACTAATTGTAGGTTGTTTTCATATAAATTAGAAACTAGTATTTAGACCCGTGCAAAGCACGGTTTTTAAAATATTTTTTGTAAATATTGAACATGTTACTAAAATGTTACTAAAATAAAGTATTTTGCTTTAGATATGAAGTATAGGGGTGTTATTTGCTTTTTTTTATTATATCGTTTAGATATTCGATCAAGTTTGATTCAATATTATGTTAAATAAAAATATTAAAAAAGATATTTTGTTTTCTATCTTCAACCTCTTGATGCAAGTAAGAGAATAGAATGACTAATAATGAAATTAGAGAGGAAAATTTGCAAAATTTGCAAAGAGGGTGTGGGATTTCTGCTGTCAAATCTCCAAAAACAAATCTTTGAGTTACGAATTGTTTGAATAATGCCCTCCCGGTCCAACCTTTTTCTATTTTGAGCAAGAAAGTTGGCAGAGATCCATGTGACTCATCTATTATCCTATCAAAATCTTATCTTTTCATCGAGTCCTTGTCGAAAATTGGCATCATTCAGATCTCATTAAGAACATAAAATCCTTAAAAATTCAACGGAATTTACAAAGATCAAGGTGAAACTCACTCGTCCTCAAACATGAGGCACCTCTGAACATCATTCATGCTAGTGTCCTCGCCGGAGGCGGCGGTGGCTGCGGCGATCTCCTCTTTCTCCATGGAAGCGGCGGCGGCAGCGTCGGGGGGCGGCGGAGCGAAGAAAGAGAGGCCGAGATCTATGAAAGAGGAAGGAAAAGATGGAGCTTGTACTGGTTATTAGTAATGTCGCTCTTGAGATATGAATGAGGAAGGAAAAGATGGGGAATGTGGGAGAGAGGGAGAGAGAACATGGGGGCGGTTATGAGGTGGGGTGGGGGTGGGGTGGTTTTCCGAAAAATAATAGGAAGAGGCAGTTTGTAGAGGGTGGGAAGTTTTATTTGTATATATTTATATAAGTTGGTTTTTTACTGTTCATAAGAATTTTTTTGTTGTTCTCCTTTAGTTTATAAGAAGTAGATGACACAATTATTTTTTTGATGTTAAAATAGCTACAGTAAAAAAGAAAAAAAATAACCGGCGGTTCCAAATTACCTGCAGAGAAAAAAAACAAAGAATGACGAAATGGCTATAGGAAAACAGAAGTTGGAGAAGAAAAAACAAAGAACTACATGGAAAAGAAAAAAAACTATTGCTAATGGCCTGCTGCTGCCGAGTGGAGAAAAAACAAAAGCTGGAAAACGAAAGAAAAAACAAAGAGGATTAAAGAAAAAAAACTAGAAAACGAAATCTCTTACCTTGCGCTGCCGATCGTCGTCGTCGCCCGTCGAATGTCGTCGGTCGGAGAACGGAGGTGGAGGTGGAGGCGGAGATGAGAGGGAGGCAAAAGGGATAAGAAGAAAACTTCATATTCTACTTTTGCATGTTTTAACATAACTTAAATCAATCTATTTTGCCTATTGGTTATAAATATTCAGCCTCCTTGTAATAACACTATTTAATATTATTCACTTTGCAATCTATACTTTCTCAAATAAAGCTTAGTTTCCTAATCGTCAAAATAATATTGAAAATTTAATTATTTTTAAATTATTTTGTTTTTTATCAATTCAAATATCAACATGAAAATTAAATTATGTGTATCTATTTAAATAAACATAAAAAAAAATGGGCATGTAAGCGTTAAAGCAAAAATGAGCAGCAAAACGCTCAAATACTTAAATCATGATATTAACACGTGCTTGCACGTGTGTAAAACTAGTATTATATAATATATATATATATATATAATATTATATATAATATGTATGTATATGTATACCATCGTGGTAATACATAGTACATATACTATTTCAAAGTGTAGCGGACTGATTTGGTTTACTGTTTATGCTACAGTAATTACTTATATCATTCACTTGTACATTGAAAGCAGTAATTCTTTTGATTTTCCTTCCATAAGTATAGGGAAGAGTAGATGTGAAATGTTAACTATATCTAGACTCAATTTTTAGCACTCGCCTCTATATTATGGACTGGTGCTTTTGTCCCTCTTTCTTTTGATCCTTTTTCTCCTCTCGATCTTTTGAAACGCATAAATCCCATGTTTGTTCAGGTTGCACATTAATAATGCTTACTAGGAATTTATTACAGGCCAATCTGTGTCATCTTGATTTGAAATGCGCTCTTCCGAAAAAGGTTAATGAGAAGATATGTGAACTTTGAGGGTTTTAATAAGTTGCTGAGCTATAAAGGCATTTTAGGGACCAGAGAGTTGACATAGCTGGTAGCCAATGAACTAGACTAGGGATCATCGATATGTATATTATAAGAAAAAGTAAGATTCCCTTCACCAACTGTATATGGGCTACTAAAGCTTCATTCCCAGGTTGAAGGGCTTTAGAAACTTTTAATGACATCAAATTAGGTGCAGAAGATAGCTTGAGTGTTTTCAAGTGATTATAAATACAATAAATTAAATGGATTCTTTTCAATAGTGATACCTACTTTGTGAGTAAGGCTATGCTCAGTTTGAAAAAATAGCTCAAGATCAAGTTATTTCATGCAGAAACTAATCTTGAGAGAGATCTCAATAGATCAAAACTTTTCTGCTGTTGAGGTCATCCGATATCTACATATATGACGTGGAACTGTATGCACTTAGAAAAGGACGATGCATATACATGACAGAGTTTATGAAACTTGTGGAAAAAAATTAGACCCACTAAAATGATCTGAACCAGTCATGCATTTCACAGAGATTACAACAAATTAATGA